TTTTTCCACCTCAGAGCTCAACAAAAGGCTTCTGTACACCAAAAAAGCACTGTCCACAAACAGCCTATCTGGCCCCAGTCAAATAAGTTACACGTGGGATGTTATCCCCCACCGGAAATGTTGATTAAATTGCCCCCTCTAGTGTACAAAAGGGGATATGGCATGTGTTTGAAATGGCTAAAATCTGCAGTACCATAGCAGCTTCAAACATTATAGGGGGCGCTAATTTGCATTGACCTCTGTGTTATTAGATATGATGTTTAACAGAGCAAATAATCTCTGTCTGATACTGTCACAGTGTGTCTGATAGTTTTTTCTTCTGGAGAAAGTCTTGTTTGTTTTATTTTGGAAAGAATAAAAGTAGTTTTAAAAAAAATATTAAAAAATATTATAAAAAAGATTTTAAAAATAAATAAAAAATATATAAGTGTGTGTGTGCGTGTGTGTGTGTGTATATAAATATATATATATATATATATATATATATATATATATATATATATACACACACACACACACACACTGTGTGTAATTTCCTTTCATCATTTACTCACAATTCATTCATTCCAAACCAGTCTGAGTGTTATTTATTTTCTGTTAAGAAGATATTATTTTAAAGCATATTGCAAACCTGTAACCATTGACTTGCATAGAATTTGCTTTTTCTACTATGGATGTCAATGGCTACCATTTACAAAATAATCTAGTTTTCGCTTTGAAATAAGATTATTTTGCTTTGCTTTTGAGATGGAAACATCAAACATTACACCTGAGTGACTCCATTATGCTTGCCTTTGTTACTTTTGGTTGCTAGGCGACCAATACTATAGTGAGCCACTCTACAACCTGATGAAAACTCACTTATTTGTGAGTTTAATGATTTTTTTTTTCTTTTTGGCTTTAAACTCTGACAATATTCACTTTACGTTATGTTAAAATGGAAATTACAGTTCTACAGTTCTACAAAACTACAGATAAAAGTTTTATTTTTAAAATCTACTGTATACTATGGATCCTGGATGTCCTGATGTCTACATTATACCTTTTATCTGCTTTATCAGGTTTGCTGTCCTCCTCTGGCCTCTGACTGGCTTCTTGCGATCTGTCAGATTTGTGATGCTGCAAAAAAAAAAAAAAATAATATTAATAAAAAGGATTCAAGATCAGTGTTAATGACAGTGTAATTATGCGTTTAGATAAAGGGATAGTTCACCCAAAAATTTAAATTCCATCTTTTGCTCACTCAATTGACTTTCATTCTCCTGGTGAACACAAAAGAAGATACTTTGAAGAATGCTGAAAACCGGTAACCATTGACTTCCACAGTATTTGTTTTTCCTACTGTGGAAGTCAATGGTTACCGGTTACCTTTCTTCATATCTTCTTGAAGAATAAAAGTTTTGGGAGCCACTTGAGGATGAGCAAAAAGTGAGGAATGTTTATATTTTTGGTCAAACTGTTCCTTAAAAAGCCATGACACATTGTCAGAATCAAATTAGAAATAAAGCACATTTTGAAGGTAGTTCACCCAAAAAGGAAAATTCTGTCATCTTTTACTCACTTTTGTACTCAAGATTAACTTTCGTTCTTTAATTAAAGACAAAAGAAGATATTTTGAAGAAAGCTGAAAACCGGTAACCATTGACTTCCATTTGTTTTTCCTGCTATGGAAGTCAATGGTTACCGGTTTTCATCTTTCTTTATATTATCTCCTAGAAAATAGAAAGGTTAGGAACCACTTGGGGAGTAAATAGTGAGGATATTTTCACTTTTGTTCGAACTGTCCTTTTAAAAGCCATGACACATTGTTAGAATCAAGTGAGAAATAAAGCAAATTTAGGGATAGTTCAGCCAAAAATTGAAAATTCTGTCTTATACTCACTTTTTTTACTCAAAATTGACTTTTGTTCTTCAGTTGAAGACAAAATAAGAGATTTTATAGGATGCTTAAGACCTGGTAAATATTGACTTCCATAGTATTTGTTTTTCCTCCTATGGAAGTCAATGGTTACCGGTTTTCAGCTTTCTTCATAACATCTTCTACAAGACAGAAAGGTTTGAAACCACTTGAGGATGAGCAAATAAATGAGCAATTTGTTTTTTGTTTTGGGCGAACTTTTCCTTTAAAATCCATGACGCATTCTCAGAATCAAATTAGAAGCATTAGAATTTTTTTACATACCGTAAAAACCGGCAAACCCATTTTGACAGCCTCTTTTTCCTGCCTAGACAGCGGCATTCCTCTGGGCCCGGACCTGATCGACAACATTACAGTCTCACATCTGTTAAGATTCTACTAATAAACAAAAGCAGGCTGTAAATCTAGATTAACCAGTTACTACAGAAGCTTGTTTTCCAGCGCTATTATCATGATCCCACATGACAAATGAACTGAACATAAAGGGATAGTTCACACAAAAATGACCACTTACTCACCCTAGTGTGGTTTCAAACCTTCGTTTTTTTGTTAAACACAAAAGAAGATATTTTAAAGAAAGAACAAAACCTGTGACCATTGACTTCCATAGTAGGAAAAACAAATAGTATGGAAGTTACAGGTTTTCAGCTTTCTTCAGCATATCTTCTTTTTTGTTTAAAAGTCAAACAGGTTTAAAACAAACGAAGGGTGAGAAAAGGATTTTTGGGTGAACGGTCCCTTAATCCAGTATAAGGGTCCAAAAGTAACTGGACAGAATAATTACCATTTGCAGTCAATTACAGCCTGAAGTCTGGAACGCATGGACATCACCAGATGCTGGGTTTGATCCCTAGTGGTACTCCGCCAGGCCTCTACAGCAAGTGTTTTCAGTTCCTGCTTGTTCTTGGGACATTTTGCTTTCAGTTTTGTCTTCAGCAAGTGAAATGCATGCTCAATCGGGTTCAGATCAGGTGATTGACTTGGCCATTGCGTAACATTCTTTCCCTTCAAAAACTCCTTAGTTGCTTTTGCAGTATGCTTTGGGTCATTCTCCATCTGCACTGCAATGAGTTCTCAAGTATTTGAGCAGATAATATTGCCTGAAACACTTCAGAATTGATCCTGCTGCTTTTGTCAGCAGTCACACCATTAATAAATACAAGACAACCAGTACGATTGACAGCCATACATGCCCACGCCATGTCACTACCACCACCATGCTTCACTGCTTAGGATCAAGAGCAGTTCCTTTCCTTCTCCCTACTCTTCTCTGCCTATCATTCTTGTACAAGATGATCTTGATCCCGTGTCAATAGGATGTTGTTCCAGCACTGTGAAGGCTTTTTTAGAACTCTAATCTGGCCTTCCTGTTTTTAAGGCTTACCAATGATTTACATCTTGTAGTGAACCCTCATTATTGACTGTGGTGTAGACTTCTCTTGATTGCTGACTGACATACATACACCTGCCTCCTGGAGAGTGCTCTTGATCTGGCCAACTGTTGTGAAGGGTGTTTTCCTCACCAGGGAAAGAATTCTTCAGTCATCCATCACGGTTGTTTCCGTGGTCTTCCGGGTCTGTTGGCGTTGCTGAGCTCATTCGTGCACTCTTTCTTTTAAAGAATGTTCCACACAGTTGTTTTGGTCACGCCTAATGTTTTTGCCATCTCTCTGTTTTGTCTTGTCAGCCTAATGATGGCTTGCTTGACTGGCAGTGACAGCTCTTTGGATCTCATCTTGAGAGCTGACAGTAACAGACTCCAAATGCATAAAGCACAATTGAAATGAACCCAGACCTTTTATCTGCTCATTGTAATTGGGATAATGAGGAAATAACACACAACTGGCCATGAAACACCCGAGAAGCCAATTGTCCAATTACTTTTGGACCCTTAACAAGTGGGAGGCACATATAGAAACTGTTGTTATTCCTACAGCGTTCACCTGATTTGGATGTAAATACCCTCAAATTTAAGCTGACAGTTAAAGCGCATCTTGTTCGTTTCATTTCAAATCTATTGTGTCGGTGCATAGAGCCAAACATGTTAGAATTGTGTCAAAATATTTCGGGACCTAACTGTATATACAGGGTTCTTACTCCTTTTCCAACTTTAAATTACAGCACTTTTCAAGCACTTTCAAGGTGCATTTGTATGCTTTTCCAGCAGCTAATAACCACAGTTAATTACGTTTATTTATATTGTAGGTACTTTTACACATTTAAATCCATTGTGCTATTTTAAAAATCTAAAAATTGTTGAGCACTTTAGAGCATAGATTTATTGGTATAGTTTAGCAAAAATGATTAAAAAATAAATTTTAAAAAGTTTAGTTATTCGATGAAGTACACTTTTAAAATGATCTTACAGTCAGATTTTGTTTGGGTGTAGTGCCAAACTTTCATTATCGGTCGTTCATAATATTTCATGTGCATTGCTATTTTTTGCAGTGATTGGATTGGCGTTTCAGGTTTAAAAATATGTCTATAAAAATCTGACTTAAAAAATTAAGTTGTCTTAAATTTCAGAAGTTCAATAATCAAGTTAAAAAATACAAATTAAAAACATTTCTAAAAGGACATAATCAGTATTATTAACTTACAATTGTTGATAATTCAATTTAGCACAATTCAACATCAGATTGTTTTGGCTTATTATTAGCTCCATATAAATGCGTGCATGTGCTGAACATTTTGCAATGTAAACTGGTCATAAGACAACATTTTATGCACTCGCACAAATGCTCCCAAATATATTTTGAGGTCACATAGACAAAATTGTATGCATATGCAACCAAAACAGGCACAATTTCAAGCCCTGCAAATTCAAGCAGGTTCAAGCACTTTGTCCAAAATCCAAGCACTTTTCAAACCTTGAAAACACTATTAAAAATCAAGCATTTTCCAAGATTTCCAGCACCCGTAAGAACCCTGTATATAGGCAAATAAAGACAAAATTATTATTTTTTAAACTAAATTTTACCTGGAGCTTCCGAGTCCAGAAACCCTGTCTACGTCCCGCTCCTCGCCCTCTCCTTCCCTCCTGCACACGTCTGCTAGATCCTGCAGATGTCATGTAAAAATATCAATAAAATAAATACTACCGGCAATGGTGCAAATCACTAAAATATCCTGGCCTGGATGTTTACAAACCTCTTTAGTGAGTCCAGTTGGCTGCCTCTTGATGGTTTTATGACCTCTAGAACAGATAAAAAACATATTGAAACGTATAGTCGTTTTTATTCAGCATTATCCTGATCAATGGATCCGACTTACAGTGCTGCCAGCATGGCCTCATGCTCTGCCTCGCGTACAGCCTCCATCTCCTGCTCTTTAGTCAGAGCTTTACCACTCTTCTTATCTTTAGCATACCAGGTCAAATCCTTGCCTTTCTGCCACCGTCCAACCGGTGCCATGAGGGAGTTCCCTGAAAATATGAACACAAGTAGGGTGAATAAACCAAGGTTACACAGTTAACTAAAAATGAAACTATAAAATTAAAGCTGTGTCTCATGTTCTTCCTGTGTTGGCGTGGGTTTCCTCCGGGTGCTCCGGTTTCCCTCACAGTCCAAACACATGTGCTATAGGTGAATTAAATTAACTAAATAGGCCATAGTCTATGTGTGTGGATGAGTGTGTGTGTGGATGTTTCCCAGTACTGGGTTGCAGCTGGAAGGGCATCCGCTGTGTAAAACATATGCTGGATAAGTTGGCGGTTCATTCTGCTGTGGGGACCCCTGACGAATAAAGGGACTAAGCCGACAAGAAAATTAATGAAAAAAGGTGTGTGTGTGTGTGAGTGTGTGAGTGTGAGTGTGTGAGTGTGAGTGTGTGTGTGTGTGTGTGTGTGTGTGTGTGTGTGTGTACTGGCTTTGGTGGTTTACAAGGACAGTTTTTTGTATAATTAGATGATTATGACTAATTGTACTCTACTACAGTGGTTTACAGGGACATGCTGTGTGTCCTTTTAAATTAAAACACTTAAAATCATTCTTTAGGGGGTCTTTTAACATTCAAAATTTACTACAGGGTTGGTTTAGGGGTAGTGCTGGGGTATGGGCATTGATCATTCATTTTCTTCTCGGCTTAGTTCCTTTTATTAATCATAGGTCGCCACAGCGGAATGAACCGCCAACTTATCCAGCATATGTTTACCCTACCAGCCACAACCCAACACTGGGAAACACCCATACACTACTGCAGTCACACTCATACACATATCAATCCCCCTATAGTGCATGTGTTTGGACTGTGGGAGAAACCGTTGCACCCAAAGGAAACCCACACCAACATGGGGAGACCATGCAAACTCCACACAGAAACTTGTGTGAACTCATCCACTGTGCCCCCTGAGAAATATAGTAAGTAAGAGTAATTTTTACTGTATAAAATGCATTATGCCTCTGGAGAGTCCTCCTAAACCACCCATACCAACATGTGTGTGTATGTGTGTGTGTGCATCTCTGGAGGAGTGAAG